GGATATTTTTGTTTTTTCCAAAGAAAAGAAAGAAATTTTTTTTTTTTTTTTTTTTTTTACAGACTGGCTTCATGACTTTCTGGGGCTTGACTCAATTTTTAGAAGCTTACAATTGACCAAAGTGAAAACATAGCACCAGATATTCCAGAGAAAGTCCTCCCTTTTCATGAGATGCCCATACATTGAGAGAATTGGCAGTATCATTTTCAGGGAGGAGACAAAACATAATGTCATGCAAGTTGAGCACAGGTTGCTTAAGTCAAAAGGTATCAAAGTATTCAGATTTACAGGGTTCATATACATTTACATTCTGTGGCCCTGGGGGCTCTCTTCTTTTTGTGTTCAAATGTAGAAGTCTGTCTAGAGTATGAACTTTTACATCATAGGGAGAAATGCCAGCTGAAACGAGTAATTACAAGATACAGTTCTAAAAACAGCAGCCCAAAATACTGGGAGGAGAGACAGACACACAACAGACAAGCCCCATAAATGTTACTGGAGGGTAAGATTCTGTAAATCTGACTGTGAGGGTAGAGAACCATCAGTATGTAGCAACTCTGAGAAAGAGACATTACAAATACACCTAATGGGATTTAAAGATGGACATGGGGTGAAATACAGGAATCATTTCAGTCTGGAGGTGTAAAGAAAGAAATATACTCCTCCACCCACAGCAAGGCTAGGAGCCACTAAGGGCAGAGAGAGTTGGGATATCAGCTGTGGGCTACAGTCACACCAGTGCTGCCAGTGTATTTATGTTCATTCAGGCTGAAAAGAGTTGGGTTCTGTAATCCACGTTGTCTGTGCTAGCACACAAACCTAGCAGACTTAGCATTACATAATAAAATGTTGATTTTATGGATATACCTTCTAGTGCTGGGGAGAAGGATTCACCTGTATACACACAGTTTTGTCAAGTTAAGAACATTGCAGTAGTTTAACTCCCTGAAATTCCTCTATCACCCACAAGCTCTGGATGCAGTCATAGACAATGGACACCAAAAAACCACGCTTGATCATTTCTCTGTTAAAAGAAGTACCTAGCAAAGGAATGGAAAAAGGCACGGAGGACTTCTCCTCCCTCTCCCTTCAACATATTTCTACTCTTCTTGCTTTCATGAGGTTCTGTTTCTTACCAGGGCTCATTAGGATTTTTGTGAATATTCAGTCTTGGCTTAACACAGTTCTCCATTAGTTATCCCACCAACTCCAGTGGGAGCTGAATTTTGCCAACATCGAGCACTTCAGAAAGCTGAGCCCAACTGTTCTAATGTAATTGAAGCCCAAGACCATTAAATACTCTGAAAACTGAACAGCCTTTAAATGTCCATAAATCACAGTGGTTTTCTTGTGGCACTAGACAAGTGTTGGGTCCAAAAACTTGGACGCTGGCCCAAACTGGGACAGCAATCCAGAAGGCTATGAGTTGAGCTAAAGTGGAATCTCCATTAGCTGGCAGTCATACCTATATCCTCTCCTCTAAGAGATCAACCAGTAAAAGTATAACCATTACATTATCATTGTATAAGTAGGGAAAATTTCTCTCAATAGAATGATTGATATTTCATGTACTAATAAGACCAAAGCTTCTCAAGATAACATTTTCTCTGCTTAGACAACGATAAGGTAATGTAACATAACAAAAGCTGTTGTACTCCTCACCTGGGATGCTAACAAAGTCAACTTCAGCATGGTTTATACGGGTTAAGAGAAAGTGCTGCTTATTTAAAATATGAATGAGAAGGCTTTTTTAGAAAATGCTCCTCGATGGCTGAGCATTACAGAACATTTAGGCAGATCAGAGGCAAAGGCTGAAATAGCTAAGGAGGACACATCCTCTGCCAGTGAAACAGAAAGGGAGCAAAGCTACTTAGAGTAATGAATAACTGTTTAATCTATGGGAATTTTCTTGTAAAAGAGAATTATAAAAAATTTATCAATTTTCATCCATAAATATAAAATCCTTTGTAAAAATTACCTCTTGTACTACATTCTAAAATCTGCATTTTTAACTTAAATCCAGACCCCAAGAAATGTAGTCGTTTCTTGTGAACAGTCAAGGCAGAGATTGGAGTGACTAATATATGCAATTGAACGCACTCTTATCACAGTCTCTTTATTATAACAGACTGCAAAAGGCAGTACCAGGCTTGGTAAATGAGCAGCAGAAATCACCCTGGTAAAGCCAGTTGTACAAGGCAAGCTTAGATAACGTGACTGTGCTATGAAACCCAGTGCCACGCAAACATATTTTACTCTGGCAAAAGAGTGTTTTTGAGAGCTAAATTGAGAAAGCCTCTGCAGGGTAAAACCAGCCATAGATATCCGTCAATAATAAAAGCCAGTATTAAAGAACTGGAGTCACTTTTCTTTCGCTGAGAAAGCCTTATGAAAGTTGCAGAAGCAACTGTTTGTTGGCTTACAAACGAAGGCACCGTCTGTTTTCCTGGACACGAGTGATTCAAAGGCTTTTTTGCAGTTAACATTGAAAGTAAAGTAAGATTGCTGTAGATCATGCCTGCGACCACAGGCTTATCTTAGCTGTGTCAGAATTAATCAGAAAAGAACTAAAACCTTCCAAAACCAACTGCCTGAAAATACAAGGAAAAGAATCAGGAAAGAAAAACAATTTATTAGTTCATCACTTAAATAAAAGGCTTCATCACTCCGTCTCCCCACGCCATTAAAAACCAAACATGTTTCTTAAAATTTTACAAAGACAGAGTCAGAAAAAACCTGATGTCACAGACTTTCAGATTTTGTACATGCTACTAAATTGTGGTATTCTAAAAATTAAAACAAGAATTTAAAGACAGATAAACAGCAGCATGGAAAACAATAAAGCAGCAAGGCTAAGAGAACAATCTCTTCCCTAAGAGAAGTATTCTTGTGCTCAAGAGGTAGGATTGCAGTACATCTTCGGGTGTTAGCACCATAAGCAGAACCTCGGCTGAAAAAAAGAGGACAGCATAGACTTTCCTCCCCTCTGCTTTCTCCTTGAACTTTAGTTTTTTCCAGTTTTTTTTTATTTGTGGTAACTGCTTGCTACTCCTGCATCACTGTCCTTAGAAACATTCATCCTAATGTCCAGATAGTGAGAAAACACTTGAAGTAGTGACTAAAGATATGAAAAAATTCTCTCTTAAGGGGAAGAAAAAGACAAAAGAAAATGGGAAGAACAGACAAGCAACAACCTTAAACCATTTGACATTTAAGAAAATAAGAAACAGAATAATGAATTTGGTATATTTATATTTTAAAATGCTGACTGATACTTAATATAGCACAACTCTAATAGCATATGTAACTAAATTACCATTTGTAATTTGAGCCACTGCATTAATGTCTTTTCAGGTAGCTACTTCAGGAGTAGGATAGTTATCACTGCTTTACCAAGGGACATCATGTGCTCTGCAATTACGTCTGATCTTGTAATAGGGAAATTTAAAATCTGTAAAGTCAAACTTTACAACCTTCAACTGTAAAATCACCACCACACATTTAATGGGTAGAAGATTACCGTCATGAAGTCGCTTTTCATATCATCTAGTGCTACTATTTGAAAAATGATTGAACTCTCATTTCATACCTTTACAAACTCTAAGTAGTCCATGTTTGTTCTCTCTCCACCGAGTCTCACAGGAACTAAAATAATTACAGCTTTTGTGTCTGCTTTTCCAGAATCCATAAAAGAACACTGTCTGTCAATAACATCTGAACTGTAGACTGAAAGGAGACACACGGAAATAGTCATACTTAAAATGTATCCGCTAGCTTTTACAAAGACACAGCTACCAAATGCCATCACTTAGTTTGACAAACTGAAACTGCAGTCCTTCAAAATATTACTGTCCTCCTGAAACATAACTCCTGAGTGACTCTGATGAAACACAGTGTTATACCTCATTTTCAGCAATATTTTGTAGAATGGTAATCTGCTGCTGCTGAGATAAGATACATTGCCAGGAAAATGCAGAAGGGGTAGGTTAGGAGAAAGCCGATAAATATTTATTCACTTGATACAAACTTCTTCTAAAAAGAGTAGTTTAAAACTTGAAAGCCTACAACTAACAGAAACATCTACATATTGAAGGAAAAAAAGACAATAATTGATTTTAATAAATACTCAAGTTCGCTGTCTAAAGTTAACACAACAGTCACTGAAAATGAGTGAAAAAACTTAATGTAGTATTATTGCTTATTTCCTCCAAACTAAGAGATGCGGAAAATCATCACCAGAACAAAGAAGTGAAAAATTAATAGAATTTTAAAAGTTTTCACTGTCATTGTAAGCCAGGTGAAACTGGTTTGTAGCGTATGATTAAACAGTGTCTCTTTAAAACCAGTCTGATTGATCACCCAGGGATGTCGGTCTCGTCTGTCCTATCCCAAGATCAGTTATGACATAACTAAAATTTCTGGCAGCTAAACATGGCTACTGAAGTAATACATTATGCTTAGATTTGAAAGACTATAGTCATTAGTGTAAAGTTTCACCGCACATTTAGTTTATCTTGTCATCATTTTCTGCTCCTGAACATCCAGAGCTCTAAGCTCCTCTGCCCATTATTGGTTATTTAAAATGCCACGTTGGAGCAGAAGAAAGGTTACCACTCACTCAGGTTCACTATCCTGCTCACATCTTTGAACTCCAAGCGAAAATGACTTCTTACTATTCTAAGAGACTGGTGCAGTGGTTTTTTTCCACTAGAAAAATGGGTAAGAGAATCCTGTGATGCAAAAGACAAATAAAATGTAACTAACAAATCTAACTGAACTGAAGTATTTTTTAGTTGTTTGGTTGTTTTTTGGGGGGTTATTTTTAATAAAATATGGAAGTTCTTACTAGCTTATTGCTAAAACAACATTGAAGCGAGTACAAAACAGATTATTAATTGATTTAAATCCAAAATAATAAGTTACAGCAGGCAGATTGTAAGGAAAAGGTATCTTGCTGGATTTGGAATTCCACTACCTTCCCCTATAAGATACCAAACAAGCAATGTATGAAGCTTTCCAGTTGTGATGTCCGATTCTCAAAGAGAACAAACATCTGCATATATCAAGAACCCCTTTGTCTACGTAATCTCAATTTTGTGGATCCATTTTGAGTTTATTTTTCTCCTTTAGAGCTCTATTGTTAAGTGCTTACTGAAAGGTATAAAAAGCATCTCAAGTGTTTGCAAAAATCTACGTAATCACAACATTTACCTGTACAATCCTGAGCAACATAGACTGTTACTCCTTGTAGCTCAGGGTCTCTTGCTTCTTCAACAGCTTTTCTAAGTACAAACACAAAACTATTTAACTCATCTCTGATTTTAAAGAAATTAACAGTAAATAATCATAAATTATTTGATTTTTAGAGACAGGTTGGTTTTAATTGTTTGTTGTTGGTTTGGATTTGGTTGTTGGGGTTTTTTT